TCCATAATGGCCGGCGTGAGCTTTGGAACGGAGAAGGCTAAGATAGCAGTGACTGAAGGGGAACTGCTGGGTCACGTGGTCGGCAGGCGTGGTGCGTCAGTGCAGAAGGAAAAGACGCACGCGATAGTCAGGTTTCCGCCGTTGAAAGAAAAGGTGCAGGTGCAACAGTTCCTTGGCTGTACCAACTTTCTCCGGTACTACCTCCAACCCCAATACGCGCATTGCGCCAAGATTCTTGGCGAATACGTCAAGGGGAGGGAATTCCCTGGTCCCTGAGGCGGGCTTGGGGCGGGGCCTGGAGAGTCGTTGGGAGATCTGGCTGTGCGCGCTATCAAATTGATGGCGAAGCGCACAATAGAATTGTTTGTGGTGGACGAGATCGCCGCGATCCGTGGGCAACATCCGTTGGAACAGATCGCAGACAGTTCTGGATACGCTGTTGGTGGAGTGGCGGTACAGATGCGGGAGGACCTGTGCGGATTCAACGTATTGTGTACGCATTCAAAGGGGTTATAACCCCCCCACAACAAGCGTGGGCACCATTGAGTTTGGAAACGTATGCTCAATTGGAGGTCCGTCGGGCGGTGAAAGGGATGCTAGGCCCCTTGAGGTGCATCATGTGGACCGACCACAGTAACCTTACTCGCCTTCAATCAAGCGAGGAGATCCAGCCAAAACATTTGAGATGGCTGTCGGAGCTCCTGGCTGACGGCTCGACCTTGAGAAGTTTGAGCGGAAGATCGGCTCGGCTCGCGGATGGGTTGTCGAGGAACCCTCCCGAGCGGGACGAACTTTTGCTGCAGAGAACAAAAGACCTTCAAGGACTCATCGGCCAACTCCGGGAATTTTCCTTGGAAGAGTTTCTTGGGGAGGAAGAGTCAGGGAAAGTGATTCCTTGGTCTCTGCTGAGATGACTGGCAAGAAGATGCGCCCGGGATCCTTGGATCGTTCCGACCAGGATCCGGGTGCAGGGGGCGGAAGCTCTAAGCCAGTGTCGTCCCACCCGTTCTGTTGTTTTTCGCGGATCTTGGCTGAGTCAGGGGCGGTTCCAGTCCTGAAAGTGTTGTATGTACCAGATTACTGCACAGAAGGGGAGCGCCTGAGCAAAACCACGGAGCTGAGCAAGTTTTTGACGCGAAGTTTGCCGGGTTTTCAGCCGAGAATCTCGTTGGAAGAACCCCCGTTTGAAGATATTGACGGCACAGGCCTGCATTTTGAGTGGCAGGGCAAGGCCCGGCTTACCGGCCGGAAGCTTGCCAATGCGGTAAGGGTTGACCTGTTTACATCAGTTGCCAAGTTGTTGCGCGAGCTGGTGACTCACCGCCCCTCAGCGATGCATTTCATGCATTGGCCGAACAACGCGGTCCTTCGCCCGCGCGCGCAGACTCCGCTATGCTCCCAAGCTTCCTTCGTCTCTCTTTCCAACCAAGGGCCCCAAGCTGTCGTTCCCATCGCTTCTGCAACAGAAATCTTCAAGTCTTCACAAGCAGACTTAAGTTCCACTACGCTCGGGGTACCTTTGGGCAGCACAGCTTCCACTGGCCACGGCTCAATAGGGGATGAGTGCCTGAACTCAGGACAAGCCTTTGACAGGACCGTCCAACCAGGCTTCGCTCTACTCAACCTTGGGACTTCAGCCACCGCTAGTTTAACGGCTCCCCAGGCCGCGGCTACCGCTCGGCACTGTTCTCGCTGAAAAACCCTTGCCAGCAAAACGGCCTCCACGATTAAGGGTTTGGAAGCAGCCAGAACCTCGACCGCCCCCTGGCCTCTTCCCACCACCACAGCGGATCTGAGTGAAGATCGTGCCTCTATAACACCCGAGGCGGGATCCGTTCCTGGCATCGAGGTGTTGGCCGGCTCTTCGACAGAGGTCTCTCGAACTGAGCTCTGCCCAGGAGAGCTTAGGACCGCGACCGAAACAGCTTGATGAAAGGAATGGTTCTGGTGGATGTCCGCTGGAAGCGAGGGAGAGGCTGTTGGTGAGCAAGCCTGACGGCTGGAGGAACCGGACAGGGGTGACGGTGTACGCTCTGGATGGAAAGTTACCTCTGGAGCTGTGTCACGTAGTGAATCCGGAGTGGCCGTTGGACCTCACCCAGCGATGGCGAAGGAAACCTGGAGACCAGTCCTGGGTCCAACAGTGGACGGTCGTGGAAAGGACCTTGCACGAGATTGCTCAGTATGCGAGAGATCGTGGAGGCTTGGACGAAGCCGGCCGCGACTGCAAAGAGGCCTTGGAGAGCTTCTTCGCGTTCGCCGGCCACTACGCCCGAGGGCTAGTAGTGGTTTGGGAGCAACTGCCCGAAAGGTTCCGCAAGGGACCTGAGAGTAGCGTGCTGTGGTTCGAAGAAAGACCGGAAGGAAGTTGGACTTGGAAGTTTGAGAAGGTCGGTCCAGGGCACCAACCGAGAATTGAGGGAAGGATTTATTTGGTGCTGGGGGCGGAGTCGCGCGACCGGGACCGGCTGCTGCTGGTCCCCGGGTCGCCGCCGATCCCCTACAGTTTCCATAAAGAAGGAGAGGCCCTGAGGGACTCGAGAGGGTTCCCCTCCGAGTCCTCGGAGGCTGAGGATAAGGCAGTCAGAGTTCCGGAGCGTTTGCTGGAAGATGCAGCTCGTGAGCGAGAGAAGACGCGAGGCGAACTGCAGGACCAAACTGACTTCAAGGTGGGAGTCGACCTCCAGGTGACTTGGGCTGCTGAGCAGAAGAAAGACCAGGCCTTGGTTCCTCTGATAGCCGGTTGTTGTGAGAAGGACCGGGAGATCGTCGAGCGCTTTCAGATCGGAGATGATGGAGTGCTGGAACGCCTCGTGAAGATCGATGAATGGGAAGTGGCTCGATGGGTTCCCGTGGTGCCCAATGGCAAGGCTTGTGGGGATATGACTTGGAAGGAGTTTTGTTTCCGGCAGGCGCATGTGGGACTAATGGGAGGGCGCAAGAACTGCCGAGACACCCAGAGAGTTCTGAAGCGAATCTGCTGGTGGCAAGACATGACGAAGGAAATTGAAGTGATGGTGAACGAGTGCCTCACTTGTGCGAAAGGGCGGAAGAGACCGACGAAGCAGGAAAGTGTAAGCGTGAAGCCGACGAACCTGGAATGCTGGGAGGAAGTGATGGTGGACTTCGAAGGGCCCATGCTGCCTGCGGATGCAGCAGGGAACCGATATGTTCTCTCGTATGTGGACATGGTTTCCCACAGTGTTCTCTTCGAGCCGTGCAGAGACCTTACCAGGCAGGAAGTTCGGGGAGCGTTTTCGAAGCTTATGTTTCGATCCCGCACGGTACCCCGGGTCTTGAGATCGGATCGGGGACAGGAATTCCGAATTGTGGTTTTCCAGGAGTACTGTGCGGTGGTTGGGATTCAGCAAAAGTTTGCGGCCCCTCTTCGTCCGGTTGAAATGGGAGCTTGTGAGCGGCTTCGCCAGGAATCGCAGAAGCTGCTCGGGGTCTTGCTTCATGATGTTTGTGGGGCTTATCCGCACGAATGGAGTGAACTCCTCCCCGTGGTAGAGTTTCTTCTTGCCACGACGCCCACGCAAGCGGGGATTGCTCCGCGTGATCTGGAAAGAGCTTGGTCCATGGCAATTCCTCTGGAACGAGACCTGGAGCCCTTTACCGTGCTCGAATGGGAACCCGTGTCGGAGTACGCGGCTCGTCTGTTCAGACGATATAGGGAGCTCCGGGTGAAGGTCCTGAACCACCGAGCCGAGGAATCTGCTAAACGAGCCTCCCTGCTCAACCGCTTCAGGGGCTGAGCCGGCTGCCGAGGCAGCGGCTCCAGCCGAAGCTGAACCCGAGAAACGAGAAGTGGAACGAGTGGCTAAGGAAGAAAGGGTGGTGAAAGAAGACCCGCGAAGAAAGCCAAAGCTGGGCCACGAGAAGAGGCCAGGGGTTCTAAGGAAAAGGAGCCAGCGAAACAGGC